AAGTAGTCACATGGAGATACTTAATGAAGATGAGATGCAAGCTCAGACTGGAAACCAGCTTGAGTAAAGAAAACGTCAGCATACAGTTACTTCACAGAATGAAGCCAGGAGCCACATCCTATCACACCTGCAAGGCCATGCACACAGGGATGTACAGGACAGTCCTGCTATAAGGTCTCTTGTCTTCCCACACCAGTGAATTCCCCCAAAAAAGACAGCACCCACCCTGCCCCCAAAAGAAGCAAGAAGACTTATGAAAACTCCTAAACTTTAACTGTATGTGTACTGAGACTCAGGCTTAGAGCAGTTCGATGTTTAAAGCAGATGATGCCAGAGAGTGTGGCTTGTCATCATCGTCATGATTCCCATCCCAGAAGACTATTCTGTTCACCAAGCTGGAGGTCTTCACAGCCTGAAAAGTGAGGGCAGAGCTTTGTGTGAACCTCTTATTTTAAAATACTGTCTCTGCATAGACTAAACAGCCAGCACAAACAAGTTCCACCCAGATAAGCTCCCTTCACAAAAAAGGGCATTGCTCAGTCCTGGTTACACTGTGAATTCACTTTAGTTTTTCCCACACTAAACAATCCAGTTTGGATGTAACAAAGAGGCGGAGTTCCCTGGAAGGTAACAAACAGGATATATCAACCATTTCTGCACAAACAATAAACTTGGAGAGCTGCAGCCCACCAGAACCCCAGATAGGTAACATAGGCCATCCTGCACAGATTTTACTTATCAGCACTTTTCAAATGAAGCAGGATCTTCTAGTATTAGGAGAGCCCATCCCTGCAGACTGGGTGTCCACAACTAAATAACCAGAAGACAATTTCAAATCAGTGAACCATTAAACAAAGTGTCCTTGTTTCAAGGGCCTAATGATCAGTTAGACATTGGCACACAAATTACACAGCTTACTAGCTTTCCACGAGGGAAATACTTGCCCTCTCCACCTTCAATCCTGCAAGGAAATACAGCAACAGGCAAAGCAGTTCACTTAGTCCCACAGTTGTTTTGCATTTTACATACTATAAAAAAATTACTCAACACATGACCCATTTTCAATCAAGTGCAGGAGACAGAGTGTTTGCCAGCATCTTTTAATATAAATATTAAGGTCTAAGAACCCTGAGCCTTCATTCTCACACCTGCTTTTAAGGCCTGCGAGAAGCAGGGAATCCTTGGCTCTGGACTAAGATCTTGGGTTGAGACTTGGGGGAGGGAGGGGGGGGCAGAGAGAAGCCTTCCACACGTGGGAGTGGTTCCAAACGCTGTCCTGAAGCTTTACAAAGTATCCCAAGAGTCTCCTTCGGCATAATAAAGCTTCATTCATTCAAGGCCAGGTTGGATGGGGCATTGACCTACCGGGAAGTGTCCCTGCCCATGAGAGGGGGTTGGAATGAGATGATCTTTAAGGTGCCACACCATTCTATGATTAGAAGCAAGTTCAAATATATAGCGAAACTAAGAGGACGAAGCTTATATCAGCCCTAATGTGAGGGACTGCCTGCTTATCTCTGAATTATCTCTGAGAGGAAATTGTTTATTTTTTCCTTTATTTGAACAGATAATAGTTTAACCAGAAATAAGTAAGCAACTGTTAAGTCTTCCCAAACAATAATTACAGTGCACTTAATTGCGGACTCCTATTTTTGTTCCAAGCAGAAATGCAGGGAAATTACAAAAAAAAAAAAAAAAAAAAAAAGCCCATGCCAAATAAAATCAGATTATATCAGCACAAGAAGTAACTTTAGGAAACAAGCTGCAAATTGCAGGAGGTCTAACTCATTTCCTTACGTTTCACAGTGACAGTGGTTTGCAACCCACCATTCACTGGGTGGTGGGAACTCATGACCACCTGTACATGGTCAAAACCAACCAACCAACCAACACACCTCGAACGCTTTTTAAGCTTGTTCCCTTACACACTCATATTCACGGGTGCTGAACGCCACCTTGTTCCTGTAGGAGGGACACAGCCCTGCACCAGACCCATCACCTGCACCGCATCCCTGCAACGGCGTCGCTAAAATTATTCCTTTTTATCCACTAAGAGTGAAAATTACGGCGTTCACAGCAATTAAGCTGTAAAACTACAAAAAAGGGGGGGGAAGAAAGGGGGAGGGTTGTTCTCACTTTCCCCGCGGAAGATGAAGTTAACCAAGAATACCCACTGCGCTTCCCCAGCTCCGCAGGTAGCGCTGATCCCTCCGGACAGCTGCGGGTCGCCCCACCACGACCTGGGACACCCCCAAAAGGCTCTGCACTCGCAACAATCCCTTTCCCCTCCATCCCGCTGGGCATTAACCCGGGAACAACCTCCCTGCTCCCGGTACCAGCCGGGGCTCCTGCGGCCGCTTAATGGCGGCCACAGCCCGGCCACCCCCCCGCGCCTCTCGCCGCCCTCACCTGAGGCACCGCCATGGCGCAGCACCCCCAGCAGCACCAGGAGCAGCGCGGAACGAGGACAGACCCGCATGGCGCTGCGGAGGGAAGGGGAACAGTGGATATGAAGCTGGGAAAGGGCCGCGGCGCTGAGCGGGGCTGGAGCGGGGCGGGCGCTGTGGGGCGGTGCGTAGGCGGGACCGCCCCGCCGGGGCCGCTCGGCCCTCTCAGCCACCTGCGTGAGGGTGCGGCAAAGAACCCTTCGATTTCAGGAATAGTTGTACAATGTTTTAATAATGCACGTTAGGTTTTGGGTCCGCCGGCTTGTGGCTTGGCTTCTTAGCTCAGGAGCACGAAGGAACCCCCCCGTCTCAGTTTACACACGCAGGCAAATACAATCCTTACTCCAACTGTGCCATTGGGAAAACACTTGGGGCAGATTGGTTTGTATCGTGGCTGCACCCACAGCATCACTGACAGGGCTGAAGAGGGACTTTTCACAAGGCCCTGGAGTGACAGGACAAGAGGGAATGGCTTCACAATGACAGAGAGCATGGTTTAGACAGGTTTAGATTGGATATCGGGAAGAAATTCTTCCCTGGGAGGGTGGGGAGGCCCTGGCACAGGTTGCCCAGAGAAGCTGTGGCTGCCCCATCCCTGAAGTGTCCAAGGCCAGGTTGGATGGGGCTCTGAGCAACCTGGGCTAGTGGAAGGTGTCCCTGCCCATGACAGAGGGTTGGAATGAGATGGTCTTCAAGGTCCCTTCCAACCCAAACTGTCCTGTGATTTTAAGAAAGAGGAAACTCCTGGAGGTCTCCAGCCCAGCTGGTCCCTCAGAGCTGGCCTGTGGCCGACACTAGATCAGGTCAACCACCCTTGCCTACAAATTCCCAAGAGCATGGAGCCCACAGCCTCTCTGGGTGTCCTGTATTGCACATCTTGATTTAGGAAGCCCCAGATATTTTCTAACCTTCAGCCTGGCCCTCTGCATGCTGCCAGCTGCGAAACACCCCTGGTAGTCAGGGGAGATAACCTGTGGGAAGGCTGGCATTGTGCCCAGATGTCAGAGATAAGAAGGAAGGGGTTTAAGTGCTGAATGACCATCAGCTCATTCCCGGGCAGTACTGACTGGCACACGTGGCATTTATTCTCCAACCCTTGGGCACAGAGGCCGGGTGGTGGCTCTAAGCTGTCTCCCTGGGGACACCACACTCTGGCTTTTCCCTGTTAGATGTGATTCCTGCTCATTTTGGGGCTGGAGTGGGGCACCCAAGCACTGTTGCTGCTTTTAGCCGGGGCCAGAGTGACTGCTGTACAGCAAAAGCTGCCCCTGCTGTGGCATGCCAGCTTTCTAGTGCCAGTAACAGGACCACAGGATCAGTTAGGTTGGAAAAACCCTCTGAGATCATCGAGTCCAACCTTTGACTAAACACCATCATCTTGTCAACCAGATCACAGTACTGAGTGCTGTGTCCGGCCTTTCCTTAAAAACCTCCAGGGATGGCGACTACACCATCCATTCCAGTGTTTAATCACCCTTTCTATGAAGAAATTCCTCCTGATGTCCAATCTAAACCTCCTCTGGTGCAGCTTGAGGCCATTTCTCCTTGTCCTGTCATTTTCTACCTGGGAGCAAAGCCTGACCCCCATCTGGATATACATCCTCCTGTCAGGGAGTCGCAGAGAGCCATGAAGCTGGAGAGTTGGGCTGATTCCAACGGGATGAGGTTCAACAAGGCCAAGTGCTGGGTCCTGCACTTTGACCACAACAACCCCCTGCAGTGATACAGGCTGGAGACAGAGTGGCTGGAGAGCAGCCAGGCAGAAAGGGACCCGGGAGTTTGGATTGACAGGAAGCTGAACATGAGCCAGCAGTGTGCCCAGGTGGCCAAGAAGGTCAATGGCATCCTGGCCTGGATCAGAAACAGTGTGGCAGCAGGACCAGGGAAGTGATTCTTCCCCTGGACTCAGCACTGGTGAGGCCACACCTCGAGTGCTGTGTCCAGTTCTGGGCCCCTCAGTTCAGAAAGGACATTGAGGCGCTGCAGCAGGTCCAGAGAAGAGCAACGAGGCTGGGGAAGGAACTGGAGCACAAGTGCTGTGAGGAGAGGCTGAGGGAGCTGGGGCTGTTCAGCCTAGAGAAGAGGAGGCTCAGGGGAGACCTCCTCACTCTCTGCAACTCCCTGACAGGAAGGGGGACCCAGGTGGGGGTTAGTCTCTTCTCCCAGACAGCTATCAGTAAGACGAGAGGACATGGTCTTAAGCTCTGCCAGGGGAGGTTTAGATTAGATGTTAGGAAGAAATTTTTTCCAGAGAAGGTAATCAGGCATTGGAATGGGCTGCCCAGGGAAGTGGTGGATTCTCCGTCCCTGGAGGTTTTTAAGATGAGACCGGATGTGGCACTTAGTGCCATGGTCTGGTAACCGCAGTGGTAGTGGATCAAGGGTTGGACTTGATGATCTCGGATGTCTTTTCCAACCCGGCTGATTCTATGATTCTACGATCCTATGATAAGGTCCCCCCTTGAGCCTTGTTTCCCACTCAGCCGCGCCTCACAGGACGCACCGCAGGGATTTGGGATTCTCTTTTTTTTTTTTTTTTACTCGAACGAAGGCGTTCCCGAGGGAAATCCCCAGGCTGGGATGAGCGGTGCCCGCACACACACAGTTCCTCCTCCGGGCGCGCAGGGGGCGCCGCGGCGGGCGGGGCGGGGCGGCCATGGCGGACCGGCTGACGCAGCTGCAGGACGCGGTGAACTCGGTGAGGCGGCCGCGCTCTCCCCGCGCTTCCCCGGGGCTGCGCCGGGCGCTGGGGTGGGGCGGGGTAATTAACGCGGTGCTAATTGCTGCCGGCAGCTCGCAGACCAGTTCTGTAACGCCATCGGAGTGCTGCAGCAGTGCGGGCCCCCGGCCTCCTTCAGCAACATCCAGACCGCCATCAACAAGGACCAGCCCGCCAACCCTACGGAAGGCAAGTCTGGCTTGGGCATCGGGAGTGCAGAGCCCGGGCTCGGCCGACAATGAGGGCGGGAGGTGGGGGAGTGATGGAGGTTAAGTCGCTTGTTGCGTAAGATTGTGGCAGCAGAAATGCGGTTTTAAGAACCAGCGAAGCATCACGATGTATTTCTTGTGCTGGTGTCTGTGCAGAGGCAGAGCAGCTCCACAGCTCCAAACTGCTTCAATACGACTGTGGAAACACGTTTTTAGCGAGCTGCCCATTACTTCCAAGAAGCCTTTTTAGAAAGGATTTCATAAAAGGATCTCATTAGTTCTGTGGAATCATGGATGAGGTTAAAATTCTCCATGTCATAAACCTTTAATTACTTGTGTTTGTCTGCGTATCATGGAATCATAGAAGGTTAAGGGTTGGAAGGGACCTTAAAGATCATCTCGTTCCAACCTGCCATGGGCAGGGACACCTTCCAGTAGACCAGTTTGCTCCAAGCCTCACCCAGCCTGGCCTTGGACACTTCCAGGGATGGGGCAGCCACAGAAATTAATTAAGGAATAATGTCATGTTGAATCTCCCCACTGGCATTTGTGGATTTATATTTACTATTTTTTTGGAGAGACTAGAAACTGATCTAAGGCACTGTCATGGTTTAACCCCAGCTGGCAACTAAAGACCAGGTAGCTGCTCTCTCATTTCCCCCTGTACGGAGGGGAGAAGAACTGGGTAAAAAGGGCAAAACATGTGGGTTGAGGTAAGAACAGTTTAACAATGGAAGCAAAATAAAATGTAATCTCATACTGAATCTAAAACACAGCACTGTACCACTGCTAAGAAGAACATTTACCCTGTCCCAGCCAAAATTAGAACAGGCACTGAAATTGGGAAGCAAACTAAAAGTTCTCTCTGATTCAAAAATTTCAAATCATGAATAACTGTGTTATTCTAGTCCTGGATATTTTTCCTTATTTTCTTTTTTTCCTCTTTTCTTTTTCTCCACAAGAAAATGTTACCTATATCTCAGATTAGGATTTTTCATTAGAACATCAGGGGAGACTGGTTTGGAGGTCTTTCGAGGACAGTTGAATTTTGAACTAGTTGGAAGAGCCAGCTGGAAGGCTTGTTTGCTTCCTTAAAAAGCCTTAAAACTCTTTACAGGTAAACCCAGTGGTGACCCTAAGTAAGTTTTAAATGGATGTATTGGTTTTGTTGTTGTTGGGAGTTTTTTTTAGGTTAAAGTCAAGTGTACCTTTGAGAATGTTAATCTCCTCTGTGGAATTTTGCCATTACAGTGTTTTCTCTCTTGCTTCCACAAATCATTCATGAACCAAGCACATAAAGAAATATATAAAGTCTTAAATTATAAATTGAAAAGGACTAATTCAAAGTTTTAGCAGTAGTAGTGACCTGAATTCAAACTGAATGGACACAATTCCATATGGAAAGGTTTTGTTTCTGGCTTAAGGTACCTTTACTAACAATTCTTTCAATGATATAGGAGCTAAATTAAGGTCTGTTATAAGCTTCCAGTTCTTTTCCACTTCTCAGGGGCAACTGAACTTTCTCAGTGGCAGAATAGGAATTCTTTTTCCTTTAGATTAAAAAATGTCAAATTCTTTCTCTAGTGATCGGTGTTTAATGTGATTTAAAGTATCTGTTTGAATCACTGTCTTTGTTATTGTTCTTTTTTTTGGTAGTGGCAGATTTCAGGGCAGAGATTGAAAACTTAAATGAGTTTTGAGCTAATTCCCAGTACTTAGTGCAGTCACTAAAACAGTCAATACTGGTATTAGTGATTTCTTAACTGGCTGATGGTGATGGAGTTCTGGCTATTTTCTCATCTGCACAAAACCCAGCCCTCTGTATAACTAGTTACCTTGTTTAATAAAGGATTGGAATGAAACTGCCTTCCTCTTCCCAAGGGAACCCACAAGGAAGATGGAGAGAGACTATTTCCAAGGGCCTGGAGTGACAGGACAAGGGGCAATGGCTTTAAACTGACAGAGAGCAGGTTTAGATGGGATATTAGGGACAAATTCTTCCCTGTGAGGGTGGGGAGGCCCTGGCACAGGTTGCCCAGAGAAGCTGTGGCTGCCCCATCCCTGAAGTGTCCAAGGCCAGGTTGGATGGGGCTCTGAGCAACCTGGGGATAGTGGAAGGTGTCCCTGCCCATGGCAGGGGATTGGAACTGGATGATCTTTAAGGTCCCTTCCAACCCAAATTCAAACCACTCTGTGATTCCATGACTCCAATATGTTGGAGTTCCCCTCAGTGGTGACCCTGCTGTTTCCTTCATCCAGGATAAAATTTTTAAGACCTGCATCCTTCAGTCTAGACTTTCCTGTGCTGTGTGTGTAGAGCTGTGCTGATTCCCAGTAATTCCCTGCCTTCCCCTCCGTGTTTCCTAGAGTATGCCCAGCTGTTTGCAGCCCTGATCGCCCGCACTGCCAAGGACATCGATGTGCTCATAGACTCCCTGCCCAGTGAGGAATCCACAGCAGCTCTGCAGGTAAGGGTGTTCCTAATTAAAATACCAGAACATTCCCCAAGGCAAACTTCTGCCTTTTTTCTGGTTTTAAACACATTTTTTAGTCTCTAGGCCATGTAATCTTGAAAAAGGATTTCAATACAAGCCTGACTTTTTCATGAGAGTGGCCTGTGAGAGCTTCGTAGGCTTAGTGCAAGTACTGCACTTGCATCTAGTTCTAAATAAGGTTCTCAGTGAGAATATTTTAAACTTAGTTTTCTGTTAAAAGCATTTTTTTTTAACATTCTGTCACAATACTGGAAACTGCTCACCTCAGCTGTTCAAATATTAATAGAACAGATGCAACAATACTTATGCCTTGGGGGTTGTTTTGGTTTTTTTTCCCCTTGGATAATGTTTCATGTTTCTCTTGCTCATTAGGAACACATTTCATTTTGTAGCTGCAGAGCCCACACCTTACAGAAGCCTTTTGTTCTTCTACAGTGTTTCTGGTTGTTAAAGGGTTTGCTGGTTATCCTTTAAGCTCTGTCACAAAACAATTCTTTCACTTTTCAGTCCTCCTTTGGACCAGCCAAACTTGGGTTTTGTTGTGGTAATTTTTTTTCTGTTATTCCTACAGATCTTGCCTGTTAAACAGCATATTCTTATTTCCTTTTTGACTGTTTACATCAAGTATTTTCTTTTTAGAATGCAGCAGGGATGCAGAGTGCTGTTTCTCTGACAACCCTGATGATCACCCGAAAGCTTTTACACCAAACAGAAATGACTTGACAGTGGCATCACATTTGGTTTTAAACAGGGGAGGTGATTTTTGGAGATGTTCCTAGTCACAATAATTGCTGAACATACTAATCGGGCTCGTTAACACCAGCATCATTTCATGGAACTGCATTTTTAATAGCTGAAGGTGGAATTCCTGCTGCAGACAGATTACAGGCTTCTCCCATGATTGAGCAGGGTCTGATCCAAGTGACAGGAAAAGCAGGATATTCCAGAAGGAGGAGCTGGTTATCCAGTAGGGATATGCTTTCCTTAGGGGTGATACTTGAACAGTTTCTTGCTCTGCTAATGCAGAATTTCATGTCACAAGAATTCCCATCTCTTTTGTTTTGGGATAAGTTAGCTTGGATTCTATTACTTACTGATTCCAGTTTTGATTTATATTTTCTGTTGCTTAGTTTGGTGCAGTATTAAAGATAAATATTCTGACATTTTTCAAAGAAACAGTTTTGAAGGTGCTTGAAATGCTCTAAAATGTGGTAGATAAATACTTGGCAGAACTATTTTTATTTTTTTTATACTAAGATTGTCTTGGCTTGTTTCATATCTGAGGCTTGTCTTAAATGATAAGCTCCTCCAGTAGCTCTCAAGTCCTTCACTCCTGTATTAACCTTCATTAAAGACATCAGTGTTGTAGAATAGGAGGTGAATTTGTGGATAAGAATTTGCCACTTCATTTAAGCCTGGCTTTTTAAAGACCTGCAAAACTACTTGGAAAAAAATACCAATTTGAAAGTATTTAGCTTTGCCTTTTCTGATATCCAGTTAGAACAAGTTTTAGCCATTTTAAATTTGCTAGATATTTTAAAGTATTAAAATACTTTGAAGCTAAAATGTTTTATTTCACTACATTTTGTCTAAGTCAAAAGCGGTTTGGTTCTGAAACAGAATCTTGAAGAAAGAAAGGTTGAATAATACAGTTCCATGTGAAATATGCTATTTAATAATACAGTTCCATGTGAAATGTGCTATTTAATGAAAGGTTTAAGGAGGTTGTGCTGCCATCTTGCTGAGCACCTTTCAGTGAGGGAGTGGGGAAGGGGATAAATACTCCTAATCAGAAAGGCTGTACTGAACCAAGTGATGATACGAAGCAGCTAACATTTCTGTTTAGTTTTTTTTGGTGTTTATTCCATGTGGATTTGCACAGTTTTAGGCTGCCAGGCCTCACAAGCTGCTTTGAAGTCGTTAGTGTGTAATTCAAGCACTAAAAGAGAATCTTTCTTTCCCTGGGAGCTGTTCCTTGAGCAGCAAAGTCACCTCGGTGTCCTACTGCAAATCCTTACTTTTCCCCCTTGTTTTTCCAAGGCTGCAAGTCTCTATCGGTTGGAAGAGGAGAACCACGAGGCGGCTGCCCGGCTGGAGGAGGTGGTTTACCGTGGGGATGTGCTGCTGGAGAAGATCCAGAGCGCCCTGGCGGATATCGCACAGTCACAGCTGAAAACCAGGAGCGGCACCCCCAGCCAGCCCCTTCCCGAATCCTAGCGCCAGAGGGCAGCGTGGCCCTGCCAGACCGCCTCGGGAACACCTCTGGATCCACCGGGAATGCAGCAGCAGCCCATGGGACTCTGCTTTGTCAAAGCTCAGACTGCAGGTTCTGTGTGGGAAACAGTTCTCCTACGGGATCAGTGGTGCTGCTCTGGAATTGGGTGTATTGATGGATGTTTCCTTGCCTGAAAATATGAATTTCTGAGCTTTCTGTTGTAAACTTGTATGGTTATGGTATGCTTTTTGTAAGGCTCACGCAGACACACTTGAATTTGCCAGAGTTCCAGGGGGACGGTGCTGTGAATGCAGTGGTGGCCATCTGGTTTAATTAACAAGAATGGTAATTAAACATTGGTGTGACTGATGGACTGGTTCACCACCCTTTACAGAGCAAACGAAAGGGAAAGTAAACTGTTTGCAGAGTAATTGGCATCTCATTTACAAAGAAATAAACCTGCAGATATCTGATGCTGGCGTTTATTATTGTTTGTAACTCAAATAGGCATTTGACTCCCTTATTGCCACTGATAGGCTCTCACTTCCTTGTACCACATTTTCCTGGTATTCTGCATCCTCTGGCAGCTGGAGAGTGCCTCTAAAGCAGACAGGGATCAGGAAGCACTGGATGACTGGGAAGAAATTAGCAGTGAGGAAAATAACTCCTTATGTGATGTTGCTTTTCCATGTGAGCAGTGGCTGCCATGTGAGTGCTGGGATCACAAGCAACAGGACTCCTCTTGTCCCCAAAGTGCTCTAAAGAGGTTTTTTAAAGCTTCCTAGTAACTGTTTTTTCAGTACTTTACCTGTGCCTACTAAAGTAAATGTCGCCAATTATGTTTGTGATACAGTTAAAAACAACTAACACAATAAGGTCAGAGAGCCAAAATTGCTCTTTTTTCCTCAAAAAGCAGTGTAGTATTTTGATGAGTGAGTAGTGCTGTAAGGTGCACCACCCCAGTAGTTCTTGTGTGGGTATTGTGAATCTTCATTTGCCCTTTCCCAGTCTGCAGCTCAGTCAGTAAGATCGGGATCTTTTGTTGGGTTCTGACAGGAAAAAGGGGATGACTGCTTTGCTGCAGCTGCCTAATGGACAAAGCATGGGTTTGGGGCCTGGAGATGTGGATCCCTTTGCCCTCTGTCCTAATGTGCTGCTTTGTCCAGCTGCTGCTGTTGGAGTTTAACCATGTCTGTGTAAAAGGCAATGTGTGATGGTGGTGATCTCCTCGGGGTGCTCAGGGGAGAGTTGCAGGGCAGGCAGGATTACTGTGTCTGTGCCATTTAACACCCCTGTTTTCAGTGCATTAGAGAGAAAGGGGGAATCATAGAATGGAATGGGACCTTAAAGACCACCTTGTTCCACCCCCCTGCCATGGGCAGGGACACCTTCCACTATCCCCAGGTTGCTCAGAGCCCCATCCAACCTGGCCTTGAACATTCCCAGGGATGGGGCAGCCACAGCTTCTCTGGGCAACGTGTGCCAGGGCCTCCCCACCCTCCCAGGGAAGAATTTGTCCCTAATATCCCATCTAAACCTGCTCTCTGTCAGTTTAAAGCCATTGCCCCTTGTCCTGTCACTCCAGGCCCTTGGAAATAGTCTCTCTCTATCTTTTCCTGTGGGCTTCCTTCATGTCCTGGAAGGCCACAATTAGGTCACCCCAACTTTCTCAGCCTTTCCTCACAGCAGAGCTACTCCATCCATCTGATCACCTTGGTGTCCCTCCTCTGGACTCGCTTCAGCAGCTCCATGACCTTGCTGTGCTGGGCCCCCAGAGCTGGAGGCAGCACTATAGGGGGAAGAGACAAGAGAAGAGATGGAGGTAAAACATCATGAGAAGAAAACAGAAGTATTGAGCAGAGCTTGTGCACATTCTGTTGGACAAGGAGTCCTGCCCAGTGAGCAAACTGTGCTTTGAAGGAAGACAGTGCAGAGCATAATGGAAAATTCCATTGAAAACAATCTCAACCACTTCAAATGAGCAGGAGCATCTCATGCTGGGAATCCATAGAGCCCACTGGCAAAGATGTTGGAATCAATTTAGGAAATGTAAGTGGCTGATCAAAGCCTTGTATTCTTTACTATAAACAGCCGTGCTTGGAGGAAAGCAACACCTCTCAGCAGCTGCTCTCTTTTCCAGAGACAGGAATACAGAGGAGTTTGTGTACTTGTTTTTGGACAAAAGTGCATTAGTATTATTTTAGCTTTTTGCTTTATGAAATTAATCTTGGATTATTATTGCAGATGGGGCACTGACAACAGCCTGCCCACACCTGGGGGTTTTATAAAAAGACAGGGCCAGGCTCTTCACAATTAAATTTTGGAACACAGTGTCCCCAGAGAAGCTGGAAATCCTGGGAGGCTTTTCAAGACTTGGCTGCTTAAAGCTCTGACCAACCTCAGCCGACCTCCCAGCTGAGCCACCTTTGTGCAGGAGGTTGAACTCCACATACCTCCTGAGGTCCCCTGCGACCTGAGGGATCCTGTGGATGTTGGACACATGCAGGGTTTCCAAGAGAACCAAGAGATTTTTAAGGAATGTTGTGTCCCCATTATCAAAAGGCAAGTCTGGAGGACAGAAAACTTGGGTATCTGGTGTCACCTCATTCCTGTTGATGTGTTGGGAGGCCACGGAGCCGACCTTAGGTATGGTGTGAAATTCCACGCTGGGGCGACCCAAGTTTCCAACAGGTGCCCTTGGACGGTGTGATATGCAAAATCCACATCCTACACTTGGAGAAAATTGATCTGTCACATGATGCTGACTCACTGGTAGACAAAGGCAGACTCCTCTGAAGAAGGGAATTGCATTTGTGTTTTATATAGCTTGTTATGGAGCCTTATGTAAGAAATAATGAGAGCCCAATTTTCAGGCACCAAACTAGAGCAAAAGTTTTATTCTGGCTTATTCTTTCAGATCTACAGAAGCAAGTTGGAATTGCTTTCATTGACTTAAGAACAAATAACTAATTTTTTCCCCTGTAACCCATATTCTAGCAACAAAGAGCACAGAAAACAGTTTGCAAACTTTTTTTCATGTTTCAGCCATGTCAAACTCTGTTTTAGGTGCATTCACAGTGGAAATTATCCTCAGGAAGTTTCTGGCTGTTTTAGTGGTTTGAGTGTGACATGCTTTGTAGGAGTGGAGCTTGGCAATTGCTACGTGCTGTTTGTATACGCTTAGGTGTAGGTTTTCTGTTTATTTTTGTTTCTTGGAAAGCCTGGTAGGAAACAGGCACACCAGGAATTTTATGTTCCTGCTGCTGCTGTACTCAACCAGCACTAAGTAGCCAAACACATTCCCCTCTTGCTCTGAGCACAAAGAACTCCCTATTTTATAGGTGTTTACACCATCACCATATTTCTTCTGAATTCCTGTTTATAGCAACACTCAAGTGTTAACCCAGCAGCACAAACAGTTCTTCCACTGGCTATTTTAGCTTGCTATTTACTTACTGTAAAGATTACCAGATTTAGCCTCTTTAGCCTTAAATGCTTCACTGAAGGCCTAAATGAATTAATTTTGTGGGGTGGAAATTTGTAGCTGAGGAGGGACTGTGTAATTTCCATCCTCCCCCCACCCTGGCCACTTAAAAAGAGAAGATTGGAATAGCAGCCCATTTTCAGCAATCAACATACTCCAGCCTATGGTTGTGTGGGAAAGCAAGTGACTGCACTTTAAGTGTGAGAGAAAAATCCTAATTATTTTCCCAAATCATCATACAGGGAAGAGAAGCCATATTCCTAAAAAGGACAACACCTTGGAAGCTGACAGCTCAAAGAAGAGGGCTCATGCACCCAGACCCTGCTGGGCTTGTGGAGCAGCCTGGCTGCTTGGTGCCTTCCACTGGGAAAAACATGGGGAGGCAAATCTTAGTTCAGTGCTGAAGAAGGGGGATGTTAAAGGAAAAATGTCAGGATACAACTGTAATGTACAACCTAATGAAGAGTGACTTTCTGAAAGGAAAAAATAAGGTTCCCTCTCTGCTGCCTTTCCAGAGGCCCCAGGAAAAGGGTGGGTTTTGCTGACAGTCAGCTGCCATTTTATTTTGGATACTCATGTCAAACGCTCTACTTAAGCCAGTATTAATTCTGAAAGCTGGGCACTTTTCACATTCTGCAGTCAAGATTAACCTCTCCACATGTTCCAGCGAGCACCCTGGGAGTTTAATGGCCCTGGGAACGAAGGGAGAGCTTAGGCAATGAAGGTTTTCACTTGGAGGTGTTTGAAAAATGGCCACGAGCTGCTGTCAGAAAGCTTTCTCTTGTGCAGTGGAGCAATGAGGGGGCAGAAATTTATCGAACTTCTGCTGTCAAAAAGCCAGCAGAGTTATCCAGCTGCTGACAAAGGTGATTGATGGAGAGGAAGCAGATCCTCTATATCAGTGGGACTAAGCTTAGGAAGCATCCTAACAGTCCTAGGCACAATAAAGTGCAGTTACTGTGTGATTTACAGTGTAAAATGATGGGAGGGAAACACTACAGTGAAGGAGAAAAGCCACACCTAAACTGGATTCCTAAGGGATGCAGGATGTGGCCCTCCGTCCCCAAGAGGCACCCAAAAGTCTGGATGTAAAATTATGTAACTGGTTAAAATTACATTGTTTTAATTTGTACTGTGGGAACCAGCCATGGAAAGGAGCCTCCAGTGGAGCTGGGTGACATGTTCCAGCTTGCTCCAGGCACCCAAGAGCCCAAACCTCGCTGCTTTGGCAAGGGAGAGCTGGCATTCCAGGCACCACACAAGTCCCGAGACTCTCAGTGTGCCAGGCAGGGAGCACAGAGTGGCACCTGCCCTGGCTTATGCTGTCCCACAACAAGGGGGATCTTTCCTGTGATTCCAACAAGCTTCCTTGCCTTAATTCCTCTGCAGGTATTTTCCTGCAGCCCAGTGAGTATGGAGCCACACTCTCCTGTGTGCTTCCTGACACCTGGGCCCTAATTGACCAACTACAAGTAATTAATACCTGCCAGCCTCTCTCCCAGGAGAAGGAATTACGATGTTTTAACCTGAGGTGTAGGTGGGGAGCGAGGGATCCATTTTCTTTTCACACCGGTTGTGTCATGAGGTTGTATTTATGATTTAAGAAAAGCACTGTATTCCTTACAAAAAAAAAGCCAGTATTCCTTAACTGTTATTTATGGCCAGGTCATATTTAATTGTCTGCTGTGTAGTAGTGGATATTGATAAAGTCTTGACTTTGCTGGGCTGTGGAATACACAGTAAATTGAAGGGTAAAATGTAAGGAAAACGTTCCTTTCAGAGAAACTCCACCAGGAAGAATCCTATGAAGCAACAGCACAAAAAAACCTGTGGTACCCCAGTATTTGTGGTTCTTCGGCTGTGGAGCTTTAGCCTTGTGGTGTGATTTAAACCTGCACCAAACACCCTGTGGTGATGTGTTTGCTCAGTGTCAGCCCCTTTCCTTTCCATCCTGTGTTTAGTCCTTGTCACGTTAATCCCAGCCTAACC